GATGCTTACATAGATTTGTGTATTATCAGTGTAAGAGTAAAATAAAGACCATGGATGACAGTGAAGTATCTGACCACCGTGCTATAGCTCAGTTTCAGGGTGTTAGCAATTTTCTTATAACCTAGGCCATCTTTGTGGAGAGCAACAATTCTATTTCTCACATCCTCAGAGAGTTCTTTGCCATGAGGTGCCAGTATGAGAGAGTTGTACCCAAAACACCAAATGTAACAGCTCTGCTCCCCATTCACACCTGGAACCTTGTAACTCTAACAAGTCACATGACACCAGGGAGGGACAACAACACAATTGGGCACAATTTTGACATGTTCACTGTGAGGTGTACTCACTTGTGTTGCCAGCTATTTAGACATTAATGGCTGTGTGTTGAGTTATTTTCAGAGGACAGTGAATCTATACTGCTATACAAGCTGTACACTGACTACTGTAAGTTATATCCAAGTTTCATTTCTATAGTGCTGTCCCATGAAAAGATATAATAAAATATTTGCAGAAATGTGAGGGTTGTATTCACTTTTGTGAGATACAGTACATACATATATGTGTGTATATATATGCTGCAGGAAAGTAATTTTACTGATGTACAGGTATGTTATACTGCCATCTGGTGGATCTTATTCATTTCTATTCATCATTTCTTTTTTATTTGAGCAGAGATACATATGAGAATATATTCTCAAAGTTATAATACTGGAACGAGGACAGATACATAAGTCTCATTTGATCATAAACAAGAGTTTATTAATCATTACAAAATGCAAACTGATTAAAAGCACCATGAATATGAAGTAAATATGCAAGAATATCAATAATTTTAATAACAAAGCAATTCTATATGTCTGTCACACTACACAAAGCTAACAGTGGTGTATTCATATAACACACACAATGCATTATAAAGTAAAGAATCAATAATATGAGAAGCCTAGAGACTACAGGTTAGTTATCTTTCATATACTATCCATACATTATCAATTATCTATTAAGCAACATTAATGTGGGGAAAATCAAGGCAATCTTGTCATTATTATTCTCATTTAATTTTGCCACTAAATGAGGAAGACTTTTACAAATACACTCAGCAGTAATCTGCTTCCTCTTCCTTTGTGAATCCGCTTTCGACGGCTGCTTGAATGCTCTTCATCTCTTCTGGAGCAGTAGAGGGAAGAATGGCCAACAACTCTTTATCAATCTTCTTAATTCTTGAGTCACTGTTCTTTTCAAACTCAGCCTTGTTCTTGAGAACAAGCTGTAAAATACTTTTCTGAGCCTTATCACAGGACTTCTGTAGCTGCAGACGCTCCTTTTTAAACTCTGGTTTTGTGTTGTCCATGGCCATAAGTTTCCCCAGTGAGCTGACACGATCCATGAGATACTTGTCAGACACTTCAGTGTAGGTCGCTGAGATCATGTGGACGAGGCTGGCGATGTTAGTGGCCTGAAAAGCTTGACTGTAGAGCATATCTTTAGAGAAGAGCTTTGAGTTGTAGGAAAGTGACTGAGTCTTCTCAGACGTGGAGACAAAATCTTTGAGAGTTTTGGTCAGGCTGACTTTCACAATGTTGGACACCATCTGAAAGAAGCGCACCATCTTCTCCCACTGCTCCTTCACTCTCCCCATGGCATCCATCCCTTTGATCAGCATTTGTATGGTGGTGTTAAAGTCTATCTCTTTGACTTCACAGTTCCTCATGGTGATCAGGATTTCAGTCAGTTCCTTTTGATTTTCTTCCATGTTCTCCACACTCTTCTCATAGAGCTCTCTGATGTTGTCCAGTTGAGCTCGGCTCTGTTCAACGCGGAACCTGACATTCTCTGTTCCCTTGTTAAAAGCTTTCTGCATCTTACTTTCTTCCTTAGACAACATGGGTGGTTTTGCAATCAAGGAAGGAGTTTTTGTGACATCTTTGCTTTTGCAGTCAAAAGTGCGGGCAGAATCAGTCATTTTTCTGATTCGCTCGAGAAACTCGTTTATTTTCTTATCTTCACATTCCCCATCTGGTGCATATTTTGCCAGCTCCTCACAGATGTTAATTGCCTCTTCACATAACTCTTTGGCATGCTGCTTTGGTTTGCATTCTGGGAAACTGTTTAAGCTACTGTTGATTCTTTCGAACTGATTTTTCACAAAGTCTGTTTTTGTAGATTTGTTCTTCTGATCATACAGATCCTTCCAGTTAATGTTGTTGTTGTGCACATACTGTTGAATATGCACTGTCCACGTCAGAATTTCTGCAGACTTGCTGTAGATGTTCATTTCATCAACTCCATCTGCAGAAGATGTTGCATTTGTTACAGCTGCCACTGTCTCTGTAATGTTTTTTGGAACATTCAAAATTGGCACCACTGGCTGAGCCACTATAGCGGTCATGCCAGTGACAACAGATGTGAAACTCTCAGTCATCGCTCCAACAAACTCCATGGCCAGCATGTTCCAACCATCAGGGAGGGAATCCAATGCTTTTTGGTATGTGGTCTGTGCTTCCTTTAGTTGCTTTTCCATAAATTTAATTGCCTTCTTAGAGCGTTTAGCAGCTTCTTCTGATGACTTTTTCCTAATTTTATTCTCCTCCAGTTTCTTCTTGATTGCTTCCAGCTCTTCACCATAGAAATGCTCAGCATTTATACAGGCTTCCAGCAGCTCTTGGATAATATTGATGACATCAATGAATTGATTTTCTGTTGATTTAGCCAGTTCAAGACAGTCATCTGCAATAAGACGAATGTTCTCCAGCTGGTCAGGAAGGTGTGCTTCAACAATCTCATCATTACCTTGGAACAGAATCTTCACTGCAGTCTTCATATAGTCTGGGACAGCCATGGTGTGGAGCCGAATCTGATCCATGTTCTTGTGGGCCTCATTGAAAGCCCACCAGCCAGAGTTACACACTTGCATGAGACAGGCACGAAATGAATCTGGGTATTTGATGTACTTGTAGCCGTTCTTTGGTGGGTTTTTGTTGATGGAGAAATCTGTTTTGGAAGAGATGAAGACCAGCTCTCCCAGGATGGCTATGGAGAGTGGAGCAGGAGTCAGGTATTCCTCCCAATTGGCATAAGGCTGCATCACAAGCTTGGTTTGGTTCCTCATCTCCTCAGCTGTGGTGAGGCTTTGACAAGTCTTAGCAATTTGGGAATTCATAGTTCCTGCTAACACAAACAGGAAAGAAGAGACATATTTATGTAAACAACCTGTGTATATATATAACTCTAGAGCTGAATAGGCAAACAGCATAAGTTGGAGTACTAAAAGTGATCTACTAATGACAAACAATCTAGGATTGGACTGAACTAAGTTTAAAGTTAGCTGGTTAAGTACAATATTCTCCTTTGCAAAACAGGTTTGACAGACTCAGCACACCATTACATTTAATGGCAAATTAACAGCAACATATCTATGGGTAGAAAATCGAGGTGTTTCACGTGAGCTTTTTCAAAACGCTTAAATACTTTCGTGTTAAACCCAGAAATGTTATAGAGTCATATGCAAACTCTGGGGGCCCATGGTCAAATTAAATGGTGATTAAATGTTGATTTTCAAAGTGACAACAGATCCTTTACACACTTCTGCACATTTTTAAAAACTGTTTATTTGCTGAATTTAACATAGAACATTTCATATGTTATATTTTATTTTTTCCAACATTTCAAACTTAGCAAATAAGTAGAAATTGTACACTAAAATTTGCAGAAAAATGTCATATTGAAGTCTGTTCACTGTAGATGATATGTTATTTTACTTAAAACAACAACAAAGCAAAATATGTGTTTAAACATTTGTATATGGTGTGGCATCCTCTGAATTTGTTTAGAACAGTAAAAATTTTTCTTCTAATTGATTGATATTCATCTGCATGCTGCTTAGGGCCTTACAGCCACTAGGAGGCCCCCAAACAACTTCTGAGTTGTTATTGTACCATTATGTTGTCTGAGATGCTTGACAGAGGGGGAAAAGTAACTAGTTAATCATGACTCACAAAAGAAAGTACACATCTGGAGCCGGAACACGGAGAAGAAAAAAGAAGATGAGGAGAAAATGCTTAAAGATAAAGGGGTGTTTTGTTTTGTTTTGTGTTAACATTATGCCATTAGTTTTGATCAACAAGAAGTAATCAATTTAGGTGTGTCTAACACAGGTTCAGCTTAGATAGGTTTTCTGACCGAGTTTTGGCTTCACAAAACCAAACAAACACCTTTCTCTGTTAATCCAGGTTTAGATACTCAGACTGTGAGTAAACCTCGTGAAAGTGCGTATGACAACGTGACATTTATGACAAACAGCCAATCATGTGAGACATGAGGGGTAGTTGCCAAAGAAGAACAAAGAAGGTAAGCGATTTTTAACAATAAAAAGCCATGCTGTCACCACTGCCACCAGGGTCAACTTAAAGTAAGCTATTTAGGCAAAAAATACAAAAATGCTGACAAGTTTATCTGTACTTTAAGTACTAACTTATTAGAACTACAAACAAAATCTAATCATCAGCAATAAACAAATTAGCCAGTTATAAAGTTTAGACAGCTTGTGATAGTCAATTGGTAGATGAGGGGCCTGCATAGGGCCCCCAAAAGACTAGAGCCATCCAGGTCTGCATGTTATTATTATTATTATTATTATTATTATTATTATTGTATTATTATTATTAACAAGACTGGAAAATAACCTAATCCAGTCAATGGACACTGATGAATAACTCAATAAAGGTTTTGCAAAATATTAAAAAATAAAAAGGCATGCAGTCAATAATATATTTAAATCAGCGGTTCTACCTTGATATCTGAATAGTTTTCAGTGAAGGTGTGGATGACGTTCTCTCGGCTCTGCTGACCAGAATGGAAGAGAAGATATGAAGGAATACATGAGCATCACAGAGTATTTATTGTCTGTAGGATCTAAAAGCCCAGCCCACCAACAGAGCTGCTGCACTTTAAAAGGATGGAGTGATTTAGTCTCAGGTAGACTAGTCGACTAACCATCTCGGGTGAGCTACATCAATAAAAGCTCTAAAAGGACTAATAGGAGGGTAAGATTTTATCCTTTAAATGGATTGTTTGTAATGATGTATTATAAGGGAATCATGTACCTTTTCATGTATGTGTACTCATTTTGATTGAAATCGTTGTCCGGCTGATTAAAAAAAAAAAAGCAGCATCTTTGATTTGGGAAAATTGTCAGCATAATTGATTTTAGACATACTGCCTCCCTTAACAGCTATCAGTTTGTAAGAAAAGGCTTTGTTATCAAGCTTTTGATTATATCTTTTTATCATCTTCTTGCATCGACTGAACTCACAGGCTTTCCAGATCGGAACTGTGTCATTGTCTTCAGCCATGCCACTGCTTATGAGCAGAGATGTTTGAGTCAGAAAGGACATATCTATGCATGAACACGTTAAGCTAGGATAATAATGTATAACACACAGCTTCAGAAAATAAACTGGTATAGCAGGCAATTTTTATAACACAGAAACAAGAATAGATGGAAAGTTGACTCACTATGGAGAACACCACCGTGGGTAAGTCTGAATCGTTACCGAGACCTGGACACATCAAGTCTGAGTCAAGACCAAGACTTAGTAGTAATTGTAGTAGCAGTGGAGCCTCAGTCAAGACTGCCACCACGAGTGGTGAGACCGAGACAAGACAGAGACCAGATAAAGCTTATATATATATGTGTGTAGTCTTAGTCCAACTTATAGTCTTAGTCCAACTTTGCATTGTAGCATTTGATAGCAAATGATGGTATAGAGAAAGGACTGTATTATTCTGTTTCAAAGTTTTGTTGATATTCACTAATGATAGACAAAAAGTTTCCAGTTTTCAGTTTCCAGTTAGCTCAGATGGGGGCTTTGCACTCAGCTAGTATCGAGAACAATTTCTGAGTCGGCCTTCCCCCCAAGACAGAGACAGAGACCATTAATTTACTGTCTCGAGACCAGACTCAAGTACTACAACACAACTTGTTTTTTGTATATCTTACTGATGCCTCCAGATGGGCTCACTGTCTCTCTTTTGATAACACATTTACTTTCTGTTCCTCTTTCTCTGTCAGATCAACATGAGCCAACCCCGTTCTTCTGAGTAAGTTGAATAATATCCACATACAAAGTAGCAGAATACTAACATTTTAACATTTTACACTGAAATAAATTAATTGATGTTTTATGTTTATGAATATTCATGAATATTTAAATCATTAACAGTCACTTAGCAATGCAAATACAAACCATTCTTTGATTTTCCAGAAAATTGCTTTTGTCTATGTGCTCTATTTTGTAACTGTATGTATATTTTCTTTTCCTTTGCTCTTTTATGATTGTTTCTACAGTGTTAATGTGAAGAACTCAAATGCAGCATTTACTGAGCCTCTAAAAGAAGGCCTCCACTCCATCAAAAGAGTCTACGAAGCCCTCACTGAAGCAGATGTAGATCCCTTTAGTGGCCAGTGCTCCAACTACAACTACATTAGAGAGCAGATTGTGCAGGCCAAGCAGAGCCTGGAGCAGTCAGAACAGGCAGCCGCTACAGTGCTGAGGAGTCTGGATGAAAAAATTGAAATCCTTACGCGTGATGAGGGAAAGCTTGAACAGAAGATGACTGCTACACAAGAAACCTTACACAACCTGAAAATTAAACAGACATCTAATGAAAACTTACTGAGTGACTCTGAAGGTGCTCTGGAGCTGGCCAAAACAAACCTAAGCACAACAAGAGAAGCACTTCAAAGACAGAAAGAAAGGAAAGACACTGCTACAACTGTGAGGGATGTTGGGCTGGGAGTGACATTAATACCCATTGTTGGATGGGTTGTTGGTGAGAATCTTGTTCCTCATACCATAATACAATCACTAAACTCAAACCATTTTACATACAGCTTATTTTTTGATGGTAAACTTAAAATTTTGTTTCTTCTCTCTCCATGCAGGTCCTGCCATGATAGTTGCTGGAGAAGCAAAAATATCCCAAGCTTCAAGAGCTATTAAAGTAACTGAAAAAGAAGTGACAGCATCAAAGAAAGAAAAGAAAAAATACAAAAGCAAAGTGTCAGACTACAAGTCCGAGATTTCTAAGACTGAGCGCAAAATCAAGCAAAAACATGAAAAGGCAGACCGGATCCATGAAGAGATTGAAAAAGTGAATCAGCAGAGAGACGCCGTAGCTGAGTTCCAGGAGAAAGTGAGAAGTGCCGTCCGCATCCTGGGTGAACTGAGTGGGACGTCCAGCGTGGCTGAGGTTCAGACTCGCAGATACATCCTCCAGGGGCCAGTGATGAAGGTGATGGAGGATCTGATGAAGGCAGCAGATAAAATCGCAGGGAACTGGCTTTGCTTAACTGACTCTGAATATGAAAAAATGAATTCAGGCAGGGTCCATGTACCTTTCGTTAATCGCCTTTTGAGTTTATTTTCCAGCAATAAAAAATAACGGAGAACAAGCATATTTTCTAATTTTGAATGACATATTATTGCATAAAAAAAATCAAAATTATTTCCGCAATCAAAAATTATTCATTTTGTGTAGATGGAAGAGTCCACAGAAACCAGAGGTTAAAGAATGGCTCCGAAAAAATGTATTGATCTATTTAGCCTATGCTTGTAGTTTGTAGAGTAAGTTTCTCCTTTAACCTAAGATAAATGCAGTTAATAGTCTGTTAATGTTTGTGTATGGAATCAGTTAATAACCTATTAATGTTTATATATGGAATTCCTGTCCTAATTTGATTTCTGCTTCACTGCAATAAAGTTGGTTCCATATTGGCATATTCAGATTTCTTTCTTCAATCGCTACAACAAACGTATGCGTTTTGAAAACCACAGAACATGCTGATTTCTACAGGCTGCCGTGAGAAATTACAGTGAAGACATAGGTGACAATTAGTGGGGTCCATGCACTTCACACATTTATTTATTAATTTATTTATTTTTTAATTGAGCCTTATGAGCTGCAGTACGTCTTTTAGCAGATCATAAATGATAGGCAGCCAGAGGTTTTAGGAAAGGCTCTATTTGTAATTACTGCTTTGTTAACAAAATTAAATTTAAATTAATTTTTAAAAATTAAAAATTTAATTTAAAATTTAATGTTAAATTGTACATAAAATAAATAATAACTACATACTACATACTACACCACTTTGGTAATTTCTGCTGAATTTAATGACAATTTTTTTATTAAATAACTTCAGTAGATTGAACAGTTGACCATATTGCCCCAAAACAAAATGTCCTTAATCAAATGCAACCCACACGACATAATACATCTGTTGTATTAGTAAATATAACTTATGCTGACTTGTAGTAAAAGGTTTTTGTGAATTAATTACAGTAACTTTTGCACAGTTGACCACATTGCACCAAAACACATGGTATGTAATCGAGTGCTACACATTAATACTGCACGTCTTATATCTGTGAGTTTCCGGTAGGTTTTTTGTGAATTAATTTTAATAGATTTTAAATGGTTAAGCAAATTGCTCCAAAACTAGTTGTACAGAGTCAAGTGCAACCCACATGACATACTACACCTTTTATATTGGCAATGTTTTTTTTAGATTGAGGCTTTATTATTATAGTGCTGTATGTATGTAATTACTGAAAAGTAATCAGCAAATTATTGCAGAAATTAATTGACAGAAATATGTCACTAGAGTTTAGCAGAAGTAATATTAGAGCTGTAGTGTGTCATGTGGGTTGCACTTGATTAAGTACAACTAGTTTTGGGTCAATAAGGTCACCTGTTCAAGCTATTGAAGTTATTTAACAAAAAACTACCACCAGAGTTAAGCAGAGGTTAAAGTTACCATTATGATATCTGTAGTATGTTGTGTAGGGGGGCACTTCATTCAGACTCTGTAATACATTACTGTATTATATATTATATATTACATACATATTTTGGTGCATTCTGATGAATTGTTTTAAAGCTACTGCAATCAGGTACACCCAAAGTTTTGCATACGACTGTGTGTAATGTAGAGGAATAAGTCTTGTCAGATTTGACCCTGATTTTCACTTAGTAGGTGCTGCAATTCATTAACTGTATAGAAATTGAAGTTGACGCACTTAAATGTTCACAGTTGTTCACAGGTCAGATGTTGTTACATTTTGTTCATTAAGAGTGTGCAAAATGTTTAAAAGGAGAAAAGGGTTTAGAATTTTGTCTTACAGTTTTAATATTACTTCTTATTTTACTCTTTAACAGTGTGGCAAACTCAGGGGAAATCAGTTCCAGTCATGGAGGGAAGAGTCTGGCCCCGTTTGGTGATTTACCTGCTGAACTCACTTCATTCCACACAGATAGTTACCACAGTTAAAATGTGTTTCAGCAGGAGGACGATCACCAAACTCCTCTAGACTCGTAACCTCAACTGGAATTGATGACCCCTGCTTTAGGGGGAAAGAATGTGAAATAAAGTAAATTAAAATCCATAAGTAAATCCATATTGTGCCTTCTATTTTTTGTGATAAAAGGTTTTTTTTTCTCGTTTCTATTTTGATTGCAAAGTAAATGCCCTTTCCACTGTTGAAGTTGGCCTATTTTTCAGTTTGTTAATATAAACGGTGAATCATCTGCCCTCGCAAAAGTAAAGTATGGTGTTCCACAAGGCTCTGTTTTAGGACCTGTATTATTCACATTATATATGCTACCACTGGGCACCATTATCAGTAAACACGGCATAAATTTCCACTGCTATGCCGATGACACTCAGTTATATTTAGCAAGCGAACCGGATGATAAAATTTAACTTAGCAAGATTGAGGACTGTATAAAAGACATAAAAGACTGGATGTCGAGTAACTTTCTCCTTCTAAACTCGATAAAACAGAGGTTCTGCTTCTTGGTCCAAAAGCGGCTAGAAACAGACTGTCTAACTTAACACTTAAACTTAACAATTTCTCAGTTGCATCAAGTTCATCTGTAAAAAGCCTTGGTGTCATTATAGACCCTGATCTGTCCTTCGACACACATATAACTAATATTACTAGAACAGCCTTCCTGCATCTCTGCAATATTGCTAAATTGAGAAATGCATTTTCTCTACAGGATGCAGAAAAGTTAGTTCATGCATTTATTACTTGAAGGCTAGATTACTGTAATGCCCTGCTGGCTGGATGTCCCAGCAAAAGCCTTAACAAGCTTCAGTTAGTCCAGAACGCTGCAGCCAGAGTTCTTACTAGAACCAGAAAGTTTGACCATATCAGCCCAGTTTTATCAACCCTACACTGGTTACCAGTTAAATTTCGGATTGATTGTAAAATTCTCTTACTGACTTAAAGCACTAAACGGACTCGCCCCTCAGTACCTGAGTGAACTTCTCTCCCATTATGAACCATCCCGCCTACTTAGATCACAAGGTGCTGGCTTACTATTAGTACCTAGAATTAATAAAGTTACGTTAGGGGGTGGGGGGCTTTTTCATACAAAGCCCCCCAGCTTTGGAATAATCTTCCTGTTAATGTTCAGGACTCAGACACAGCCTCAGTGTTTAAGTCTAGGCTAAAAACTTACTTGTATAGTCAAGCCTTTAGTGATTAGTTTTCCCTGTCAGTTCTATACCTGCCAGAGTCTCTGCTGCTCTGCTAACACTGTAATTTGTGATCAGTCACCCATTACAGAACTGACTCTCTGTGTGTTTCCTTTCTTTTCTTTGCCGAGTTGAACAGCTGCCCATCCTGTGCGTCTGATGCTGCTGCCTCTTCTGCCTTGATCGGGTGCCACTGCTCGCCGTGCAAACCTCACCCTCACAACCTGACCCCACTGATGCTGCCGCTGCTGCTGCATGAACTAAACTAATCAAATTAATCATTTGCTCCACCTGTTTTCCCTGTTTTTGTACTATAATACTTTATACTAACAATGTTTTACTATCCGGTGTCGACCAGAGGAGGATGGGTTCCCCTTCTGAGTCTTGGTTCCTCTCAAGGTTTCTTCCTGTTTCTCTTAGGGAGTTTTTCCTTGCCACTGTCGCCTCTGGCTTGCTCATAGGGGCTTGGACCCGGATTTCTTTCTGTAATGCTGACTTCCTTGTAAAGCTGCTTTGTGACAACACCTGTTGGAAAAAGTGCTATATGAATAAACTTTGCTTGCTTGCTTGCTATTTATGCTTCTAGAAACATTAAAAAGACCAATCGCTGCTTCTTGAAAAGCTCTGTAATTATAGTTCACAGTATTGTCAAACAACAGAGACATATCTGGGAACACCTCTGCAAATGCTTCTCCTGCTCTCACAAGGTCTTCATCTGTAGTGAATGGATCCATTCCAAATACTAAATGCCTAGTAAATGACAACCCCACCTCTTGTTGTAATTAAAAAGTAATTTGTCTTATGTATTTTCTCTCTCTAATAATGAATTTAAATTTCATGCTTAACGTCTTCATACATGGCTCCAGGAGAAAGTTTTTAATCAAATGTGTGGCCAGGTTTTCTGGTTTATTATTATTTCTGGTTGATGGAAACAAAGCTGAACTTGGCTTCCTTTTTCATTCTCATTCTCAAGGCCCCCATCTGCTGTTTTTATCAGCTGGCTGACATGATCCAGCTTACAGTATCACACTTATACCAGCAATTTTTGTAATATTAATTTTTTAAAATCAGAACATTATAGCCCCCCTAGCTGATTTTGGTTGAAATATGACATGGTACTAAAATGGTACAGTGGCTCTTGCCAACTCAGCCAATATGACTGGGAGGTGGTGTGATTTACACATGTCTATGTGTACCAGTACAATTACAACTAAATCATTTTATGAGTACATTTTTCGTAACAGATAAAGTGAAACACTTTCTTGAGTATTCCAGCCCTGCAAATTATGTTCTCCTTGCTCCCTTTGCTTGATTAAATTAGACTAGGAAAAATAAATAGAACAGTAAACCTTTTGTAAACTTGCATCTAAACATATGGATCTCTGTCTTGGTTGTGCCTATTCACAAATAAAATTCTTTGCCATGGTTAACAATGATTTGATCTCACAGGTCATACTGAATCACAGCACATCCGGAACACACACACACACACACACACACACACACACACACACACACACACACACTCACACACACACAATAAGCACTGAAAAAATGAAACTGTTGAAATCTGGTAACGACTAGGTAGGCCTCTTTGTATAAGATATCAATGAATAGCAAGTTCACCAAATATTTTTATTATTATGATTACAATGATAAAGATGACGATGATGATGATGATGATTGTTGTTATTATCATTATTATTATTATTATTATTATTATTATTATTATTATTACCACTACTACTACTACTACTGCTATTATTATTAGGTTGAGAGCATTTCTTTACAATGTCCCATCTTCTTTAAAAACATTACTTATTAAAAGAATAAATTGTTGTGTTATTTGTGTGAAAGTTGACGAATATTCCTAGGACACTTCCAACACAATGTTCTGCTGCATGAAAACCTTCTGATGTCAGGAAACATTTTATGCCCATAGTGGATCCTGTCTAACAACATCGAGGAACAAAACTTACTAGTCTTTGTAGTATTCAGTAAGTAATAAGTGTGGTGTATCGTTTAGACCAGTGGTCACCAACCCTGGTCCTGGCTTCCTGCATGAACTATTTTCA